TAAAACTGGTTATCTGTCTTTGCATTATGCCCCTGGGCATTAAAATTTCATTTTAGTACAATTGTAGGAGCTGAGGCTGGATTGTCAGCCTTAATCAGAATATTCAGAGTTATTGCCTTTTTGATGCAATCTTGACATAATTTAAGTTTAGCTTTTCTTTACTTATTTGCCCACAGCCAGCCCACCAGTGTAAATGCTTTCTGCTCTTTTTGAGTGAAGAGGTATGTATGAAAAATACATATAAATAAGGCAGAAATTGCCCCTCTGGCAGATTTCCTGCTTAACTCCAGATTTCAGGCAGATTCGGGGAGGTGATCAGAGCAGCACGCTTGCCTCCCAATTCATCAGTAATGCAAACTGTATTTTCACTGGCAGAAATCAATTTGATTTTCATATAGGCAGAAAGGAATAATGTTCTTGGTGGATGAAGCACAAAGCACAGTAACTGGGAGATGCAATAGGAATAGGGGGAGGAGCTGCCATGAACTGCAGTCCATTACCTCCTCCCTTATCCCTGCACTGTACAGCATCTTTTGGGCTGGAATATCTACCACAGATGTGCATTTTTGTGAGGTGGATGGTGAGATCAAGTAAAGACGGATTTGCAATTTTTCTCTTGGTCTGACATCTTGATAGCTTAGTACATCCTCCTGATTAGAAGTGCTCAGTGTAGCAGCAATGCCTGATTTTACACAGGCAATTCAATAACAGATAATTAGATGGGAAAAAAATGTTCAAATAGATAATAAAATAAAATAAATATGCATTCTTTGGGGTTTTAGAGAGGAAGAAAACTTTTTATTTCTGCTCATGGCAAATGGTTTCCTAAACAAAATTCTTTGTGCTTTTTGGGGCCAGTGACCGAAGGCTTCCCATAACACAAGGCTGTGAGCGGGGCTGCAGGAAATCTATTCTATTTCGGCTGCTGAAATGGACATTCCCTGATGTAAGTTAGCAGCCTTGCCAGCATTTAGCCAGAAATGTCCCCTCTGGCCTACTATTTAAATAATCAAGTGCATGAGAGATGAAGGTGACTGCCCCCTGAATTCCCGTGGAGTTTTAGCATGCGATTCAGGGCTGAGAGATCAAGACTTAAATCCAAGTCTTGGTGTCAAGTCTGAAATTGGCAGAGCCTGCTCTTACTCAGGTAACTCTCCTCACCAAAGGCCTAAAAAATGCTTCACTGTGAAGGGTCTCCCCCCTCTGGAATGCCTCCAACCTGGACTTGAATCTTTCAGAGCATCAAAGGCCAGAGTAATTCCCACAAGATATGAGGTATGCAAAGGCCTCTATGCTGTTTCTCTAGCTTACTCACCAGAGAATGAATTTTCTGTTGAAGCAATATTTTAGAAACCCAGCACTCATCCTGAAATGGGCAAGTTTGGACGTGGGTTTGAAGTCAATTCTCACTTAAGTGACCACAGAGGTCTGTTTTGGCTGAAAAAATATGATATGTTAATTAGCAGAATGGCTTTTCTAAGGAAGTAAATGTGTGAAAGCTTTTTAATAAAAACCGCTTTGCATACTGCAAAGCTTTTAAATTAAATTGGGACAGAGTTACAGCTGACACTGAGCAAAATTGTTTGAGACTTTTTGGCTTGTTTGTTGAAAAAAATCTGGCTGGCTTCTTGAAAGATAGCTGGTGGCTCTTTATGGTGCCCTGTTGCACAGTTTTAAAGAATAAAATTAAAAAATACGCTCATAACAGAAATGTATAGTCTATGTCTTATATCTCCCATAAAACTTAGTCCTGCTGAGGTACTCACAGTAGCATTTTTTGGACTTGGCTCAATTTGTCATGGCGTTATGCTCTCATTGCTCCTCTCCCTGGATCGAAATTCAGGCTTCAGAATAAATGAAGTAAAAATATCTCTAAATCAATCATATGTCTAAATAGGTTGTCTATTTGTTCCACACATTTTAATTTTATTTTTTTCCTGGAACAGGCCATGCTAGTAAGATTCAATTTCAAGTCAGGATAAATATATTCAACAAAATTGCTATTGGCAGCCCAAATCCTGAAGTTCTCCTTTTAATTCCTGACAGGAGGAATTTCTGAGGAGCTCCACGATTATATTGCTTGCACGAGGACTTTAACTGAACATGGTTCTCTTGGTGTTTATACCAAAGAGAAATCCTGTATGCAACAAAACAGGGTGTCAATTGAGATTTATGAAAAGCCTGTGGATATTGTAACACCCATCAATCATTAACTCTTGAAGTTTTCCATAAAAGACTTAAGATTTTTAAAGATAACAAACATAGGCTTACATGGTATACCTCTGCATGTATTTCAAGAAGTTGTCAGGGAATGCTGTGACCTTGAAAGATAGGATGGTGTAAAGAGCTAGGAAAATAAAGGACTTTCTTTACTTTCAGTTACAGTAAAATAAATCCGGGACCTTTTTATCACTCACTAGATCAGTCATGCCTTTGAGAGTCCTTCTTGTGCGTCCCTAAATAAGAAACATCTACATTTACAATGGCTTTGTTATGAGTATAGTAACAGTGGTTTCAAGTCTGAAGAGAACATTAGCGAGGAATTTCCTAGCTCACATTAAGATTGTGAGAAAACAAGACCGGGAGACTTAATGTCTGCAAGAGTCATGGAAATGAAAATGTCAAACAGAAGGAAAAATTCATAGGAACTGCCCAGCAGCACCACCAGAATTCATTTTCCATTTCCTTGTCTTAATTTTTAAACATACGTCTGAATGACGGTAATTACGCAGAAATTCTCACTAGTCATAGTATTTCCTACAATTTAATCTGCTCAGAGGGGAAAAATGCTGATATTAACTTTTAGATGTAATTCCTACTTCTTTTGATTACTGAATGAAACATTCAAAATAACAGGAATAAACAACAAAGCACCATATTAAAGATTTCTCAGAAATAAATAAAGAAGTCTCAGATCTCAACAGCTGCTTTTTTTTTTTTTTTTAAGGGGGAAGACATTAGAGTTAGAATTAAATTCAACAGATAAGAAAGAGGGAAAGGAGAGGGAGAAGGAGAACGTAGGAACAGGAAGAGAAGACTTAACAGAGTTGATTATGTGTCTTTGTTAAGATGTAGCTTTATACAGTACCTTATTCAGCAACAAAAGTACTTGGAAACTGTTCCTATAGATGAGCATCAAGTAGAACACCAAAAAAAGGAATGCCTGAACACTTCAGGGCTAACCAATAATAAGCATGTTATTAAGGACATTATACAAATGCCTCTTGAACACTGACAGACATGAGGCATCAACCACCTGTCTAGGCAGCCGGTTTCCATGCTTGACCACCCTCATGGGAAAGAAATTTTTCCCCATGCCCAGTCTGAACCTCCCCTGATGCAGCTTTGAGACGTTCTCTCACAGTCCATTCTCAGAGACCAGGGAACAGAGATCGGCACTGCCTCAGAAAGCTGCAGAGGGACATGAATAAGTTCGTCTCTTGGCCTCCTCTTCTCCAGGCTGACAACTCTTATGTCCACAGGACATGCCTTCCAGCCCTTGTACCAGCTTTGTTGCCCTCCTCTGGATGCATTCAAGCACCCTGACATCCTTTTTATGGAGCCCAGAACTGTGTACAATATTAAAAGATGAGGTCACAACACTAAATATAGCAGGAGAATCACCTCTCCTGACTAGCTGGCTGTGCTGTGTTTCATGCACCCCAAAATGCAGTTTGCCTCTTGGCTGCCAGGGCACCCTGCAGGCTCACATTGAACCTGCTGTCGACCTGCACCCCCAAAGCCCTTTCTGTTGAGTTGCTCTCCAGCCACTCATCGCCCAGTCTGTGCCTGTGTAAGCCGTTACGCTATCTATCTAGATCCCCCTGCAAGGCCTCTTGTCCCTCCAGGGAGACAACAGCACCTCCCAGTTTACTATCATCGGCAAACTTGCTGAGGATGCACTCCAGTCATGCATCCAGGTCACTGACAAAAATGTTGAACAGGACTGGCCCTAGACTTGAGCCCTGGGGAACACCTTAGTGACCATCCGCCAGCCAGATGTAGCCCCAATTACTGCAACCCTTTGAGCAGCACAGTGGTGAAATAGACGAAACAAATTTTTAGTACATAATAAACCTTTCATATAATTATTACACAGAATGTGCTTAAAGACGTGTAAGTATAATGTTTATGCCAGTGTTTTTCTGAAAATATATATGTACACACAGTATGCACACATTCACTTAGTAAATAACTGTATATTGTATATAGACTGCTGGTATTACTAAAATATTTTAGTAAAGTTTCAGAGAGTTTTAATAATTTTTATTAAGACTATTTTTTGCCTTTCTCTGACTCTGGAGTAGTTAATTGAGTCTGACTTACACAGCTTAAAGAGAAAATAACTGTTGAAATATGCATGTTTAAATATAATTTACTGGAAACACAGCTGACCTTGACCCAAAATCACATTTTGGAGCCTCGAGCAAACTACGTATTGCTGTCTGCTACGGGTTAAAAATGAGTGCCAGATCCTATCACAAAGACAGAACTCCCATTTTCCAGCAGTATAAAACTTTCTTGATGCACAAGCAAGGAATTTTGCATTAAAAACAAACAAACAATTTTTTAGAGGAGTACTTCCATATTCAGATACAATTTAGTACAGATAATTCCTGCTAAGTACAGAGAAACTTTTGTTGACCTACTGTTTTACTACTTAATCAGTTCTGTTCCTTATAATACCTAATGGTGACTGTATGATGGTTGTAGAAATGTATCTGTAGATACACGTTTGCGTGAGGTAGCAATATGGGATATTGTTTGTGTAGGACATCGTGTTTGAGTCATGATAAAAGAAACTGATATGTTCACTTGAACAGGGCCAGACATCTTTGGAAACAGAGAAAATAAATAAACACATAAATAAAACACAGCAATATTAAACTACCAAGCATTGACGGACTGAAATCTCAAGAATAAGAAAAGGCCTTGAGAAACTCAGTAGTCAATTAACACTTTGAAAAATATAGAGTAAATAGTATAATGTGTTATCTTACCGTTCCTGTTGTGCCCAAGGAAAGGTGGTTCATCTGTTGGGTCAGAGGGCCCATCATGCTTGCTGGCTGCATTGACATAGTGTGGTCCATTGTTGGTGTTATCACAGCACCCTGCAAACACATATCATTTACACTTCAACATTTTCCCTTAAAAGAAAAAGCAGCATTCTCTTACTGAGTGAACCTGGCTGAAAACTTGACATGAATCTTAAAAGAGACTAATATATCTGTCATAGAAAATATGTTTTGTTCCTATTGACAACCAAGCTACACACATATATTATTTGTACTACTAATGAGGCCATTTTATGTCAGTTCCAATTAAGTGTCATTTTTTACCTCATTACTTCTGACAAACAAATACATATGTTCTTTCTATGATGAATGCTACTGTACATTGCAAAATGCCTGTCGTTTATATTTTTCCATATCCTATATAGACCAATCTTACAGACAGAACACATATGTCCCCAATTTTCTCTGACTTCTAAAACGTTCAGTCTCTGAGATCTTCAACCTATTATGGTAATTGTCTTGGATTTTTCCAGTCTCAATTAAGAACCCTTACTCATAACATTTTATAGCTGATTGAGTAAGACTAGCTATTGACAGCGAGTGTGGTAGTGACACCCATTTAAAACACATACACAGCATTTAAAAGCATTTTTCTTCTCCTCATGAAAAACAAAGACATTAATAACAAACAGCATATGAACTAAAGCAAGAACAAGACTTTAAACAAAAATTAAACAAAAGGCATGCCAGAGCTTTGGAGAAAGCTTCTTTGTCATTCATATTCCTCATTTTTTGCTCTCCCATTCCCCAGGGTCCCATATTGGTAAACTCATGCCTTAGTGACGAGCTGATTTTCCTCCTTTCTAAGGTGTAAATGCTATTTTCTCTATTGGTTGGAAAAAGTCAGTCAGAAAGAGGGTGGTCTGCTCCTTCTCTTGCAGACAGAGAAATAAGGAGGTAATTTCAGCTATTTCATCATATGGAATAGCTCTACTTTGTGCATACATTAGAAATTCGTACACAGAATCACCGCATTAAAAAGCATGGGAAAAGGTGGATGAATCCATTTTTCACAAGGAAAGTTAACACTTTTTCTTTGAGATCGCTGATAAAACCCCCTTGTAAACAGGAATCTAAAATAAACCGGTTCCAAAAAAAAACATAACAGACCTCTTAAGTATATATCTCACATTTATGTAGACCTATGTGGCTGCCATGCCAAGCACCAGATGAACCCAAAGCTTTCCAATTTTCAGTTGCACATTAAAAATAAACAATGATAACAACAACCACCAATGCTGGGGGAAGTACCAATTGATTTTTTTTTCTCACCTCCCAGTATTATTTTGTCTATGCACATCCTATCTGAGAAACTGAGATTTTGCAGTCTCTGTGAACTTGTTACTTGCATGCAAAGATGAAGAGGAGGTAGGTGCAGCTTGGTCAGTCCTCTTTGTAATGCCTCAGCATACAAAATACATACATGCTTGTTTCATATCACATACTGGATTACACTTCTTGCACTGACAACAGTCCCTAGGGAAATTTGGCAAATTACTACAAATATCTTAAATGGAGGCTGTATCTGTCATGTTTCCAATTAAACACTTATCAAACTAGCCAATCAATGTGCAAGTATCAAACTTGCAACACTTGTGAATACTTCTGCATCTTTCTTCACCATACTCATTTGTACTGGTTTGCAGCAATTACAATGATTAACCCGTAGATTAACTCATTCTAATGAGCTACCACTGTGCTGACCTCCTTTGCTAGCAGGGGTCCTTGCAAATCAAGATAGTCACAAACTTCCACCTGCAAATTTCTTTCAGCATAGTGGGGTTAATATACTATTAAAAATGTTCTCTCTTCATCACATGTCATTCTTTTCTTTTATGTTGCTCCTCTCTTTTTGGTGAAAAAGTCTGCCCTTTTCCTGGAAATCTTATATCTGTTCTGCGGGACATACACTCACTCAGTCCATTCTGCATTCACCACATTGTCAGTGCAAGTGCCTGAATTAGCACCATGCCCAAGGAAAGATACGTTAAAAATTCAGTGATCTGAGACACCAGGGCTGCACCTGTAGAGGAACACACAGCCTGACAGGGCCCTGGGACTTGGGCATCCACCTGAACTTCAGTTACAATAAGAAATCATGAGCATTATGCCTAGAACGACCCACACCACAAAACATTTTTACTGTACCAAACCATAAATGCTTAAACCAAGTTTGTCAACTGAAAAAAAGTTTTCAGTTCCCTCTATGAGCAGTTTTCTCCTTTGGCTTAGGGATGGACAATTGCCTCAGAGGTTTCAGTACAGACCACGCTGTGTTGTGTCATGGGATAAGCAGAAAGTCACAGCCACACCACAGCTTCATGTAGCCCTGCACTGTTGGCAGTAGTGGCTGTAATTAATTTAGGATCTCCCAAAGCCTTAAAATACCTACTATTCGTTTTAGAGATGGTTATTGCAAAGGTATGGTTGGAGAAACTTGCTTTGATTACAAATGTGTCAGACTGAAAACTATGTATAAATTCAGGAAATCTGAAAATGAAGGAAGGGCAGTAGTGAAGAAAGTCTTACGGTTTAGGGTAGCAAACAACATGACCAGACACACAAAGGAAAAATCTGAGAGAAAATGTTTTTCACTAACTAGTAAGCAAGAGAGTTTTGCAAATAAACTACTCACTAAAATAGGGACTGGAGAGAAAATACAAGGACAAAAAATTACTCAAATATACTATATATACACTACTTTTAAATAGAAAATGCATATATTCTGGTTTCTAAATATACGCTGTTTAAGATGTTAGGAAAAAGGGTTGGGACAACAAATCAGGGATTTGCAGCTTTCATGAGACAGCTTAATGTGTTTGAAACTGACAGTTACCTAGAGCAGAGAATTACATGCATTTGCCAGTCCATTAATTCAACAGAGTTTGCAGAATCCTCTTGTGATCACGTAGGGAAAAAATTATACTTAATTAAGGAAATATCGTCTGGTTGTTAGGGCGACACCCAGTCTCCAGACCATAATGCGTTTCATAATACATGTTGTCATGTCCGTCCATATTCAACTTATTTATCTGAAGAAGACAATGATGTCTTGCATCAGATATTACCATCATATTAAAAGTAATTTGATTCGTTGCAGTTTATAATAGGTAGCTGCTGATAAAAGTCTGCTTGGTTACTGGCAAAGGCTGCAGCAAACATACTTTTCATCTTCATCTGCTTGGATGTCTGATTTTACTGAGTCTGTGAGCTTTATAAAGAGACATATGAGCATGGCATAATACTACTGAAGGCCAAGCTTAGCTGAAAAACCTGCAGGAAAAATTATGATGAAGTTTTTGCCACTCTCATTGCCAAAGCAAGTAGTTGGCCTGCCAGTTCCTTAGGTCTGCCCCTGTTGCCTCAGAATGATTACATTTTTCACAATTCCTGCAAGAAACCGGTTACTATAATGCCTTTGAAATTTGGCAAGATATTCTTGGCATATGATTTGTCAAACAATTCTGTCAGTGCTATGCTGGCTTAAAAAGAAATGAAGATTAATAGGTCAAATGGTAATGAACCAATGACACAGAAGAAAACGTATGATTTTTGCAACACTGCAATAAACCCAAGATCATTTCAGTGACATATAGACTTAGATTCCCTTGCACTTCATTTGAAAGGACTTGCTGTTTTAAAATGTTCTAAGCTCTGTGGACATGCCTTTCATTAAAAAGAAAAAAAAAAAGTATATTTATTTCTGTGTATTTCCTAGTTTATCACTTGCAAAGAAAGATGCCTGCTTTTACCAACTACAAGCAGTGTACTCTTCCTGTATGGCAACAAACTGAAACCACAGGAAGAAAACTAAATACAGCATGTTTATTATATTAAGTGAACTATCCTGAAGTACTTGCCAATGCCAAAAGACATCAGTTGTAATAAAGTTTATATTGATGCAGTGACACATGCCACCTTCTGAGCCTTGAAGGCTGGGAAAGGGACATCAGATATAAAAAGTGTATTAGGGGCTTTAGCCAGAGCGAGTTCACTAACTGAGTGATGCACTTGGGGGCCGGTGGGAGGAAGGATTAGTTAGTCCCAGCTTTCTGGAATAATGAACTGTATTAAAGGCTTCTGTTTCACTCCAGTGTTCTCAAACTGATACTGGATTAAGGCACAAATACCAGCTGAATAAATAGTTTTTGAAGCTTACAGTAAGCATCAGCTTATTTTAAAATTTACTTTTTCTTTATTTAGGAAGTTTTAACAAGATAAACATACTCAAAAATTCTACCTTGTAAATACTGGACAATGTGAAGCCAATAAACATTACAGCAGCAAACTTACTTTTCAAATAATTTCAGAGACACACTGTGCAGTCATATAACCACTGGGTCATTCCATTTGAAAAAGTTATTACCATACTACCAAGTGAATGTCTTTGTTATCAAGAACATGTTGTTTCTTGGGGTTTTATTAAACTGACTGAAAGGATGACTTTCCTCATACTTATCAGATCAGACTTGTCTATCAAGAATTAATATGGAAAAATCCAACATGCATACTTTTTTTTTTTTTTCAGATAGATGTACTCTCTCTGCATGCAGAATAAATGACAGCCATATTTCTATTGGTTTACTGCTCAGTCTAGACTGGGCTTCTCTTACAGGCAGCAGAAAACATACAGTCATTGCAGCAAGCCATGAAGTCCTCCGAACTGGCTGTTAAATGACCAGCCTTTCATGACTACAGTAGGGACACCAAAGGTAGCTGTGAAATCCTCTGCCCTTTATTGTCACCTTTGCTGTGGATACTTGTTGATATGCCATAAATACCTATTCTATTTAAAAATCAAATAAAACTTATTTTTATACTTTTTCCTCTTTCTCAATGAAAAGTTACCAATTCCTTTGGCATTTACTGGATGATCAGAGATTAAATTATTATCTGAGTATAATGACGAAGATTGGCCAACAATCTATATTCTGCAAAGCTTAGGATTTGGTTTCATTGCACTGCATTGTTGAATTTAAAGGCTTGCTAAAATGGGGAAACGAACAAGGAAGCACAAATGCTGCATTGAATTCAAA